GCCACGCCCCGTAACGGCTTGCTCGACTATAGTAGCTGCAGCTATACAGCCGCATTATTTCCTGCAACGCGTCCGACTCGCGCCTGTTCGGTTTCGCGTCTCTCCACAGCAACAATACTGGGGCTCCATCTTGCATTTCAACCGATAGTTCACCCACTTCTCTGCAGCATCCTCTTCGGTGGCCTTCAACCAAAACCAATTATCGACAATCCCCCCTGGAACCCCCTGGTACTATAATACGACTATACATCCCGTCTGTATCGGTACCTCGACGTACTCCAGGCTGACTGTCGCCTTCCACCAAGAGTACTCAGGCCGGGGTTTGAGCTGACCAACAACCTTACGCCTCTCGTCCATCATGTTGCAATCTCGAAAATTCTACCTTTCCCTTGTTGGCGTTGTTGCATGGTCAAGCACAGCCGCCGACACCGTCTTGTCTATCTTGGAGACGGCATCTCTTTCTTCGTCTCAATCCTCCCTGGTTAGCATCGCTGCTGTAGCGAGCACTTTCGACGTCGTTTCTCTCTGCTGTGTCGGCTTCTACATATTTCACAATGTGGGAAACGTCCGCGGAGCCCTAGAACGATCAGGTCGGGCAAGAAAGACTTTGGTAACCGTCAGCGTTCTCATATCTGGCGCTGCGTTGGTACTGTCTCTCATTTCGATCATCATGATCAAGTCAAGATGGGCAGAGGTCACAGCCGATCCTGCCGTTGCGCCGGTCTCAAATTGGGACAGCCATGTTTCGGGACAGATCGCAGCCTGGGTCGTATCATGTCTCAGTCAGGCCATCCTGTACACCTCGTCGCTATGGAACCGCAAAGCACCCAAAGTTCAAACTGTCATCACATCAGGCCCTCGTGACTCAGTCATGAGTGAACTGCGGACTTCGCGCCCAAGCCATCTCAACTTCGCAGAGCACACCCAGCTTGCGACACCCATGGCTATTCACCAGCAACCCGAGGTTCTTGGAGCCTTGCCTTCGCCCACCTTCTCTACACGCTCATCGCAGTCGCTCAGATCTTTCCGAGAGTCTCTACGTCATGTAGTCCGCCCAGTCAACTCGCGCACTACTCTCATCAGCCAGAAGTCCTTCACCAGAGACGCCCCAGCCAGCATCTACTCGAACCGACAGTCGATTGACACTGTCTCTCACTCCGATGGGTTCGATAGCTGGGACACAAGCAGCGTGAGCCTTCCAGCACGCGATGTCGTCTTGCAGCAAGCGGCGCCAACAAGGGGCACAACATTGGAGCCGATCCCCGGCAGCCGTCCTCACTCGCCCGCTCGCGCGCTGGACGGTCCGTTTCTGTCAGAACTCCCAGAGGAAGATGATGAAGATCTGCCCCCACCCCCGAAGATGATGCCAGACATCTCGCGCCCACCGAGTCCAGCATGCAGTGAGGCTCACATCCACCCCTTGTTCAGGTCGGAGAGCCCATCAGGTTTGCCGCCTCCAACAATGACTCCCGGAACGAGCATCATCGCCAGCCCTTACTCCAACCAAGCCATCGCCTGCCCGCCACGATCATTCAGTCGGATGAGGTCGAACAGCAATCTGAGTCAAACCGCCATGGGCCCTCCCTCTCTCCACCAAGCCAGAAGCTTCACCCGTGAACGCTCAGCAAGCCTCCAATCAAAGTCCAGGAGCCCATCTCCCCCCAGCCGCGAAATGACACCTCCCATCCCCGACTTCGTGCTCAACTCCTCCCCCCGAAGCAGCATGAGCGGCTCCCGCCGCGTCGCTCTCCAGTACTCCCCTGATCGATGATAGATCATCACGAGGAGTACTCTCTCTACTCCCTTCATGTCACTCATATAATGTGAAAGATGTAATGTCTCTTACGTTTGTACGATACGATTTCCCTTACACTGTTCATACCTTTTCGGTATACCCATTCATGTCACACATTCCTCTTCTGTCACTAGCTCTCGCCCTCACGGGGGTTCGATCGAGCGTTGAGCGTTTCTGCATCGCGACTCTTTTTCTTATCAGGTCTGGGCTCCAGCATACAGGGCTGTTCGAGCGGACAATCATCATCTCGTTATGTATAGTCGTAGTATCTTATTGTTTCCACATACAACTATTTGCTGGTCAACTAGTTAGGCGCACTATCAAGACGGAAAGCTAGAAAAAACCCGGACAAGAATGGATGGGAAGGGGAAGAATCGAAGACGAAGTTAGGCCGCAAGGCTGCAACGTTATACCCAAAATCAATACAACAAAAATCATCACCATCAGTAATCTACAAGCATCTTCTTCCCTTGATACTTCTGTCCAGCAAACCATAATACGCATTGTTGTGAAGAAACTTTCTTTCTCTGCCGAAGCCGGAACCCCTCAGCCTCACCTGTCGTATTCCAACAGTTCCCTTCCCGCAACGACGCTACATGACTGACAACCACTGCCCTTCCCTTACCACAGAACATGCATGATGCCAGCATGACCCCCCTTCGCAACATGCAGTATCTACCCTGCCCCACTTCGGGCCAGTCAGAGTCGACCGTTAGCCGAACTTCCCATTCTACGAGGGAGATCCCCGCTGACCATGGTACGTATACAGCCGCCTCATTTCATTTAAACCTACCGGCCGAATGTTCTTCGTTGTTGGCGAGCATGCGGGGAGATTGAACCTTATGTGATGACGAGTTCGGGCGTGATTGCCCTGACGCACGCGCGCGGCTTCCGGAGTTTGCGGAAAAGGGTGTGAGGGTGCACGGGCGGACGGGTCGGAGCCCGAGATGGAGCTGTGGTGATGAGTAAGAGCGGGAGCGGGAGGTGGTGTTGAGGGGAGTCTATCGTGTGTTTAGGTTCGGGGTGAGATGGGTCGTATACAAAGTATATGGTTTGTTGGATTGGGGGACTATTGGATGGGTGCAGTGGTGTTGAAGACATGGGGCGTGATACTTGGGGTATCTTGTCGGAGAATTATTCTCGTTGGTGATTCTGTGGAGAGTACGGATTCGTCAAGATCGTCGTTGTATTGGAATATTCTGAACTTACTTTGGCATGCAGTGTCGTGTGCGCAAGGCTGTACTGCAATTCCCATCGTGTATTTTGGCTCCATACTGTGATGTATTAGCCTTGCGATCAGTTTGAGACACGCTGAATGGATGCAATTTATGACTATCACAATGTAATCGTTCTCAAAGAGGACAGACAGTTGACCACACCACAACTAGTCCATTACACCAACTAAGTGTGCCATTGGTCGTTGTAACGAAAGCGTAGCGTCGAGAGTTTGGGCGAACAGTTAGTTGGTCGTAGTTAAGTTGGTGCCGTGGAAGTAAATGAATGAGTAATCAGAGATTTAATAACAACGTCTAGCCCAAGGAAATCACAGGTATCATGAAGAGGACGATAGACGCAGTCGTGTGAGTTGTGACGCGTTTCATGGTTGCTCATGTGTTGTGGCGCGCTCTACGCTGACCGCCGATCCGCTTGTCCTTTTGGTCACACGCGACATCAACGCCTCTGGCTTCTCTCAGTGAAGAGGAGAGTGCGCGAACTTGTGTCTGCATTCGAACAGTACGAACGCTGCGCTCACCTTGCAAGCACCCAAGATAGGAAACCAAGTCCAGAACAGCCTGTCTTGAAACCCCCTTACCTGTTCAAAGTCCCATCCCCAAGCCATGCAATACGACGCGACGGATGCATGCATGCACGCTGCGCCGCACCCTTCACCACAAGGTATGCGGCTCCGATAGACACTGTTAGAGAACAGTAGCAAGAGGCGAGAGTATACGTCTTTTTGACTTCAAGTACACCTCATGTTCGTTTTTGCGTTGCAGCTTTCAAGTGAAGGGGGCAGGGGCAATGGTGACGATTCGGGAGGATCGTCCCGTCTAGCGCTGCGGCTAATGACGTGCGACGTGAAACCTGGATGAAGCAACTTGAAAGCTTCCAGAAAGTGCGCCGAATGCTTCGTGGAAAGCCCGTAAGAGCGGTGCTGTGATGGACGTTGCAACAGGCAGATGCGATGACTTGAAGTGGCGGGACACGGTGGCGGCAGGGACGATGGGTGATGCACGTAATTTGGGTCATTGCCCTCTTCGGCTGGCGTGCTGCACCGGAAGGCTCGAGGCGCAGAACCAACAGCGCCGTCAATAGTGGCCAGCAACCATGGTAATTACTGTAGAGTAGGACTTGGATTCGAGTCGCATGACGACTGCGTGAATGTATGGATCTTATTGTGCAGTACGCGTTGCGATTGTTGCAGGTGAAGAGCTCACGGGCGCTGTCATTCGTGGACTCAGATCCCAATCGGGCAAGGCGCCAGGCCTGACCAAGGATCTCACAAGAGCTTCATCTTCATGCGCCGGATCAACACGATTTCCAACACCCTCGCCAACCTCTTGTTGCTGCTTCAGAAGTGCGCTTTCTGCGCTATCTCCTTATACTGACATTCCTCAGCATCTAGTCATCTCAGCGCTTCCGCTCGACTGTGCCACACGGAGCATTCCTTCTGCAGGGTTATTTCTGTCTTGCGAGCACTCGCAACCTCGACCTCTACAAGCAAATCGCGTGTAAAAATATCGAAACGGCTGTAGACTACCTCAAGATTAATTCATGAGTCTACGGATCCTTGACTCGGACTTCGCGTCACGCTGTCAAGCAAGTCACCGCGCTCACTAAGGCGACTGGTCATAGTAAGTACTTCACACCCAGCACTCACGTCGCGCAAAACCATCGCACGAATTTCAACAATCCACGGGTCCAGCAGTTCAGGGAACGATGGAATCGCTCGCTGGCTTTCTGCTACTGACATCGCGACGACCATATGCTGACACGTCTTGCTTACAGCACTACCACCACTCTACCTACCCCACAAGAGGGTGACAATATCAGAAACCCACCCAGAACCATATCTTGGACCCGTAAGTACCCAATCGCATACCCGAAGTTCGGTTCGAGTTTCCGCCACCCTCTCATCATGTTATGATTCCAGGCTAACGGCTGCTTCGTCCAGGTCTCCGCTTACAGGTCTCACATAACAACAATGCCGCCGAAACGAAAGTTCAAAGGCACAAAGGTCATCTCTAACAGCCCTCTGAAGGCACCGCGTAAGTCCGCAAGCCTACTACAATTGCCTCTTGATGCTCCCTATAGGGTTATGCTAACCTTGGCATAGCCGCTAGCGCATTGTCTAATAAGCGAAGTAGTCTTCAGGGTTCGAAGACATCTCGCCTTGCTCCTTCAGTACCGTTCCAAATGACAACGCGTCGCGGTGCAAAAGGCACGTCTAACCACACGAGCTCGGCTGGCCCATCTAGCGCAAGCTCTGGCAGCCGTCGTAGTTCTCTGGATGAAAACGCGCAAAACGAGGATGCAACTCCCGACCATGAGGATGCGCGACCAGCCAAGCGCAGCCGAACATCGTCCGATTCTGGTTCGCCGCAGAGATCCAATGGCTCATTCGACAACAACACACCCATGAATGGCACCCAAACTCCAGAGCTTCAGAAACCTGCATCTAGTGCGACTTCAACGGCACCAAAAACAGCAGCAAAGAGGAGACGCGCATCAGACGATTCATCACAGTCCAGCAAAACACGTCCAAACGGAGTTCTCACCCGAACCCAAAGCGATGTCTCCGAACAACAACCGCGCAAAAAGCGCAAAACAAAAGAATCGCAAACCGACACCGCCGCCGACCAACCTCCTGAGTTAACTGATGCTAGCACTGCACCCAACTCACCTGAGCAGGTTCCAGATGTTGACGGCAGTCAAAGCCTTCAGAACGTTCTGCCGACCAATGGCGATGCCCCTGCAAAGTCCGGCAGGCGTTTGCCCGGTCGTCGGCGCCAACCGCATCCGGACATCAATGTGGAGACTGATTTGCGCCGACAGCTCAATCTTAAGATGAGCTATCGCAGTCTTGCAAAGGTCCAAAAGGCTTTATTAGAAGAGTTGGCAAACCGTACTACGAAGAATCTTGAAGATGACCCCCAGTATCACAAGAAATGTCCGGAGTACGAAGCCGTCATGGCCCAGCTGGACCAACGCCGCGACTCCCGTCTGGACCAGATCAATTCTCTGCGCACATATCGACTCGAGGAATTAGAGCGCATCCGCGTCGCCGAGGAGCACATTCAGCGAGAGCAATACGTCAATCGATTCCGGGAACTTCAGGATGACTTTATGCTCCAAATATTCTTCCGCGCAAAGCAGCTGGAGCGGGAGATGAAGAGCCAACACGCTGATGCCACAGACGACGAAGATAACATCCTTCCGCCAACATTCAGTGACGAAGTTCACCATGCCGAAGACTATCGCATCGGATCAAAGTTCGCCTCACGGAGCAGGGCTTACGTTGAGGCGGACAAGGAACTTGAGAACGACTCAGTACGACGGAAGTTCACTGCAGCACGAGTTGCCTTTGTTGAGAACGATGAAGAGGCTGATGATTCCATTGAGGACGTAGCTGGTGGCTTTGCCAAGTTTGACGGCCCAGATCGCACCGAAGCTATTGCGCATTACAACATTGCGAGCCTCGCTGATGCTGCCATCGAAGTCGAAAGGACGCCAACACCACAACCAGAACCAAAGGCGATTGAGGTCATTCCAAATGAGCATGCTGCTCTGCTCATGATGCTTGCAGATATATCAGCACATCAGCCGCGTACCACTGCCGCACCAAAACCTCAATACCACTACCCAGATCCTCGTCAGCAGCCCCCACCGCCGCCGCGAGCGACAACACCGGTTATCAAGCAAGAATTTGTGCGAGAAAAGTCGCCGGAATTCGCACAGCCAGCCATGCCACTAGGATTGCCGTCGCAAGCTGCGCATAGCAGTCCGCCCAAAGTTACCCAGGTCGCAGTGGATCTTACTCAAAATGTTTCCCATTCGGAGCCCAATGCTGCACCCTCAACGAAAGATACTGAGGCCCCTGCAAAGACAACTCCAAGGTTATCTACACATAGAATCATGGACATTCTCAATGACGATCAAGAAGTCCCAGTCTCGAGGACAAGGGAATCGCAATCCTCAACTCAGCAACCCAGCACACCATCAATGCGGGAATCTTCCATACATCCTCAAACGCCATCTAGGAGCGATGCTCTCAGAGTAGACGCTGTCATGAACAAGGAAGAACCACCTATTGACCAGGCACTGATGGACGCATTGAGTGGCCCGCCTCAGAGCAACCCACCTTCGTCACCCCCATCGAACACTCAATCGTGGCAACACCCAAGTGTGCCACCCCAGACACGAGAGTCTGACGAGTCCTTACGTCGTCGGGATCCTCTGCAAAAGATCAGGGAACTTCTAGACCGGAAGGCACGCGAGCTTGGTCGAGAACCTCCAGACCGTTCTCACTACAGACAGGCTCCTGCTCACTGGAGAAACTCAATGCTCCCAAGCATAAACACCCAAGACCGAGGGGAAGTCGCGGCATATGATCCGACCAGGCCATCTACTGGGCTGTATGATGCATTACCGGGTAGTTATCATTCGCGTCGGCAATCCCATGAACAAGCTCCTCAGCCATGGGAACATGGCAGGAGGACAAGTGGCCATCAAGTCTCACAACAATCGGCAGCATCGCCATATCAGGCCCATGCCCCTCAGCCTCACTATGGGGAACATAAGCAAGGCCCAACCCCACCAACACATCAAAGCCCGTATGCACCACCGTCAGGATCGTTGCCACTCCCTCCAAAGCCACCTGGTCCACTGCCATCAGCGCCGCCGATCAACTTCCGTTTCGCGCATTATGATCCTGCGCCGCCACGCCAACCGTATCCACCGCAATCACCAAGCTACCCACCCACCTCACATCCGCCACAGGGTCCGCCACAACCGTCATACCAACCACCATACGGTGGTGCTCCATCCTACCAAGGCGGTTACATACCACCTCCAGGATCTTTCCAAGCACCACCGCCACCGCCTTCCTCCATGGCCCCATACCAACCACTCAAGATCCACCAGTACGGCGGTCAACCAATACTCCCCGCAAACATGGCACCACCCCCACATAGTGGACCACCGCCTCTACCCTTCATCGGCCAATCTGGGCCACCACAACAACAAGGGCCTCCTCAGCACCAACAACAACAGCAGCAGCAGCAGCAGCAACAGGCCTACTCTCCAACGCATCCCCATCCCCCACCGATGCAATACGAGCAACGCGAAGCGCACTCTCAGAGTAACGGTGAACGGTCTTCAGATTCACAATCAAGACCTAGACGGCAGTACAGAAGCTATCACGCCCCCGGCACGCAATTCCGAAGCTACCAAGGTCCCGGAGAACAGCGGAGGAGAGGCGGCTGAATGACCCACCACTAATTGTACATTACGATCCTACATGCTCTTCGCTACTAGTCTCATCTTTCCTTACCTTCTCCTTTTCTTTTCTGTCTATCTGTACAGGGAAAAAGGTTGCATACAGCGAGGAACCTCTTGTTTTTTTTGCTTGGATAAACGGGCATTTGCATGTTTCTTAGCTGCATTGGCGTTGTACTATCTTGTTATACACGTGTTTTTTTCTTTTGCATAGCCCCCTCCTTGTTTGTAGCATCTTTTCCAATTGGATACCCTGGGCGGTTTGCGCAGGATCTTGCGTGTGGGTGCGTTCGTTTAGGTAGAAAGGTTTATTTAACTGGTTACATGCATGCTTTCGTCACCCTTGAGTGTGACTTGAACGGTAGAGGGGTGTGATAATGTTTACTTGAAGGTATTCATCCTTCATTTAAGAGAAGGCATACGTAAAAATTGGGTATCACTAACACTACACTACATCCCGCTCATGGTATCTGCACGAGCACTTCGCACAGCTCCGTTCCTCCCCCTACGCCCTCCTCTTCACCCTAGGCGTAGGCGTCCACTCCCTCCCCAACCCCGATCCTCTCGCCTCGCCACCAAATCCAGCAGTTCCCCCACCCCTCGGCGTCGCCCCACCCATCCTCTCAAACAGCCGCTGAGCAGCAGGCGTCAAATCGCCTTTCGCCTTCCTCCCTGGCGTCATACCAGCAGAAGCAGCAGCCGCCCCGCCCCTCCTAGGCGTGGGTGCACTCAAAAACCTCGGCGTCTCACTCGTAAAGATGCCCAAGCCCGATCCCGTTGGCTTCGCCTGAGTGTGTGGATTCGATCGTTTCGCGCCGATTTTGTCGACCATCCTGTGATGCATCTTCTCGCGCGAGGAGGAGTCGTTTATGGTGAAGGGTGTAGCTGTGCTGCTGCTATCTAGACCGTAGCGTTCTAGGAGGTCGGTTGGCGCGTCGTCGTCGTCGTCGTCGTCTGAGGAAGGGGAAGGCGGTTGTGCGTCGACGAAAGCATAGCCGTTTACGCGGGGTGTTTCGCTACCTGTGTATCCTCCCTCGCTGGGATTGAGACGCGGACGTCCTGCGACAGCGTCACGTACGGCGGAGAGAGTGGGGCTGGACGGGCGAGGAGGCTCGGCTTCGGGGGCGGGGAGGCGCGTGTTGTTGTAGAGGACTTTCTTTGGGGGCGCAAGAGATGCCGTTTCGGCTTCTTGGGCGCGCGTTGGTGCCCATTGTTCTACGCTGTCGGGGCCGAACAAGAAGCTGTTTAGGGCGGTGTGGCGGTGGCCGGTAGGCGCTGCGGGTCGCTCGTCGAGGTTCTGGCTCGGTTTTGTGCTGACGACGAGTTCCTTGCCTTCGGATGCGGCGGCGCGGGCTTCGAGGACTTTCTGTTGTGCTATGCGCTGTTTACTCGCGTACATGTTTCCTTCGCGGAGCCAGACGTTCTTGTCAAATCGCGCCTTGTTCTGCTTGTCGATGATCTGGCTGAAACTCTCCTGGTCTTCGCTGGTGTACTTTGCTTGGAATGCGCCTAGGCTCATATTCAGGTCGACATTGTCCAGTTTGCCTAGGCCCTCATCGTCATCTTCGACTTCCGTTCCAGCGACCGTGACGGGTGTGTCCGCGCCCCATACACTTGGAGTCTTGTCGCCAGCGCCCCCTGTCTTGTCGAGCCTCGTTCTCGATGCCATCTTCCTTTGCCCACTCGGCACTGGCGTCATGACTTGTGTGAGCTTCTTGCCAGCCTCTCTTATCCATGACCTGTCATTGCTTTCCACAGCATTCAGATACTCTCGTTGTGCGTCGGCTTCCGCTAGCCCTGGGAAGAAGTCGCGGCGAATGATGTGCGAAACGGCGGAAACATAGGTATCCTCGTCTAGGACTACGGAGGGACGTTTTATGCGTTTCGGTGCGGGAGGTGGTGGCATGAGCGCATTCGACGCGCTACGCTTCGTGAGCGCTGTTGAGTTGGGGCTGGACATGATGTGGTCGGGGTGGGGTTGGAGTTGCAGAGCGCGTGGAAGTTTTCTAGTGGGAGGTGGCGGCGGTGCAAACAACGACGAGGTTTGGATGCCCCTGAGCGGTGGAGGGTAGGTTTCTGTAAGTGTTGTGCACCCACGTGGGCTGGTGAAAGAGCGTTGGCGCAAAGCGACTTTCGTGGACGATGATGTCTTAGCGTCGGCAGAAAGTATCCACCGCCTCCAGCCCTACCCTGGGTTGCGGGTGAAGGTACCTGCATAAGTACCAACACCAGTGACACAAGATACTCGGTTAGCCGCATCATTTCAAATCTTCATTGTGTGAGCAGATGAGGTCACTTGAACGGACAGAACCTCGCGCTACTCTTAGCGTTGTTTCCCTAGCATATCTGCATTGAATCTACGTGCGGTCGCATCAGTACCCTATCATGAGACATTCCAGCTACTCAGATAGTCTGGTACCAGCGTAACGATATTTTTGAACCTGTGCTCTTCCGTGATAACATCATATCCAATATCCCGACCCTATACAGGGCGAGTGCCTCATGGCACTTCTTGACCCGGGACCGAATCGTGATTCTTTCAGCAGCGCACTGGGCTCAATGGCGAGTGGAGTAAGACATGAAATCTTGACCAAGAACCGTGATCTAGTAGAATGACTCGACCATAGCGTCCTTGTGTGTAGTGTTGATGTTGGAAGGGCCGTTGCCTTCGCCGAGCCTGAAGACAGACTCGACGACGGAGAGCTCGGTCGCTGTGGTATCAAGACCTAGATATTGAAATTAGTCTATGCTCATCTTAACGTTCTGTCGATTTTGTACGTACCAGTGACGGCCATCCAGTCATTGACAACCATACCCGCACCAACGACAGCGCTACCGCGGTTCACACTACCAGCTACAAGCGGCACTTGGAGCAAACTCGACAGCTCGTCTTGATCCTGAATGCTTGTCTTTGGGTGCACGATACCACCCTGATTGCTCAGAGCCATGTAGCTTCCTGTGAGCACGTTGTCCGCGATAGTTTGCCTGAACACCTCCACACCCAGCACATCGGCGATGATCTCCTCTGTTTCGCGTTCTATATCCGGGTGTACGAGAGCGACGTGGTCGTTGCAACATATTACGTTGCCGAGGGCTGATAGTCGCTCTTCTATCCTCTGGATCTTGACTTCGTCGGGTATGGAATTTCGAAGATGCTGGAGTTCTTGGTCTGTGGTTGTGGTGGGGACGAGGAGGCCTTTCTTGTTACTGTGCACTTGTTAGGTTTGCTCTTAGGGTGTGTGTCGCATAGCGCAAGCTATCGCAAGACTTTGAACGTACCCAGCGGTCAGTCTGCCGATGATCCTGGTTCCGGCAATGGTGGCGTGGCAGATGGGAATGACATCTTGGAGTTCGGCTTCGAAGACACTGTTGCGCCACCGTCAGTACTATTTTCTTGCAGGGTTTGCTGGCCACGGTCGCATAGCATGTCGCCATACTGTAACAACCCGCGAAGAGCTATAGAGCTATGCGCACCTGTAGAAGTTCTCGCTCGCGCCGACTGCGACGATCGCGTACGCGTTGGTGAGGGTAGCGAAGACACCGACTTCGTTTGAGTTTTCGAACTGGGCGCGGACAGCCATGATGATTGAGTTGAACGTCGAGTATGTGTGTGAGGCTCTGTGGGGAGTGGAGAAGAAAAAGAAGGGTCTTTAGTACGTGGATAGTGAGCTTGTGAGTGAAGTCTGCAGAAACTGTGAAGGCGGGACTATTTTGTAAAGAGCGACATCATAAGCCCCGCTACTGGATTGGGCCTAGCGCCTTCGACTCATCTTGAGTGAACCGAACCCTGCATACTGGAAGGGCCCACCGGGTCCCTTCGCCATTGCTTTCTCCATGTTGGCGCTGGTACAGCCGTGACTGTGGAAGTGAAGAGTCATCACTTGGCGACTGCGTCAGATGAGATGCGATGTTCATCTCGACGTGATGCGACTCATACCCGTCACCGTGCGCACTTTCGACGTGTCGCTGGGATCGCACGTCCATCATCGTGAAGCAAGCCACATCCCTTCACTTTGCCATATGGCTGTGCACTCGCCCATTCTGTAGCCTCGCCCGACTTGCAGCCTCATGGCAACCGGTCGCATTGCTTAGCAACGACCACGAAACCTTGTGATAGACTTTCGGAGCATTACTCAAAGGCGACTCAAGTCCATCGGTGTGGTCGATACTTGATCAGAGCACCGGCTTTGCTCAAGTGCACGGTACGAAGCTCCACATGACACATGTCATAACATTCCCGTAGTCTTCCGGCCGATCGCAGTGAAGCGCCCAACTCCTCAGGTTCAACCTTGCGATGATCAATGGAAGACGCGATAGCATAGAGAAGGTAATCGTTATATTGACGTCTCATCGTACAGTTGACGTAGCACGCATGACTATAATTACAAGATCATATAGTTCGTCAAGCTCGAACCACAGCGAGATTATCCAGGAGCAGCGCACGGTTGGCCGCTATGCTTCAGATCCCCAGCCACCGCGACAGGCACCCTTGCCTCACATCAAACTTCCAAGACGAACTGACAGGTGACAAGCGACAGGTATGGAACATGAAGATAATAGTATTGTAAAGTGGCTGATGGCGCCAAACTGAGCAAAGCAAATGGGTAATACGCTTTCGGTCACACTAGAACAAGCAGCAAAAAGAGAACGCCCGCTAAACTGCAGCATGCCGTACACGATACGCGTGGAGAATCGAAAAGTGAAAAATGTACAATAGCGGCTGCGCCTAGACAGTAGACCCAAAACGAGATCGAAGTAGATATCGAGGAGAGCGTTCATGTCGTGTGCTGGAGCCAGAAAAACATTAACACTTGCGTGATGGCATGATTATGATCGTAAATGGTTCGTTATGCAAATGCATCGCGTGCAAATGTCGGTTGTAAATTGTGAGATTCGGCCTGGAGAGGACGGTCGGAGAGGTTCGCTGGACTGTAGAGTGGGTGTCACTCATTACATGCGCGATGCGAGAATGGCCAGCGCGACGATGACACCGATCAGAAGCGTGCCAACTCCGGACATGACACGGTTGAGGTTGCGCCACCAGGTTGCTTTCTGGAAGGACTTGTCGTCGGCGGGCCCCATCGCTTGGGCGAATTGCTGTTCCAAGTCGGCCTGGCTGGCAGTTGGGGTACCAACAGCGTTCGGGTCGAGGGGTAGAGGAAGGAATGCGGCAATTATCCAAGCTGTGTTTCTGATTAGTACATGTCTTCATTCATACGGTGGTATCTCGTGGGTCAAGACTTACCAGGTGGGAACAGAAATCCTATACAGAAAAGCAGGATCTGTCTGTTTTGGCGCCCGAAGAGTGTGGCATGAACGTCATCGTCCAGTGATGGTGCGTTCCAAGCGCTGTACAATTGTCCTCTCCGATCGGTCCGGAGGTGCGGTGTTGAGTAACCGCTGAGCGGGTACATGTGAGGTCCGACTGCGTATACTGCTCCGTCAATCGAGTGAACGTCGTCTGCTAGCGAGACAGTATCGGCGTGTGAAGCGCGGTTCCTTGAATTGTTCCTCGGTCGGTTCCGTGGTCGGTAAATGCTGAGTGGGAAGTTGCTCTCTGAAGGGGTGCGCGATCGTCCGCTGTGGGCGGTTCCCAGCCGTACGCTCTCAGAAGACTCGGATTCCGGGGCTCCAACTGAGATGCGTTCTCCCTTTTGGTAGTAAACCCTTGCCCAAGCTGGAATGTTGTCTGCAATGAATCTCGACATATGCGACTGAGAGGATCCAGGTCGCTCGTCGCTCATCGATACTGCATCGGTACTATTGGCTCTGTTGCGCAAGTACCCCGAGTTCTTCATGCGCAGAGGGATCGATGTAGGCAGCGGCGAGATCGTGTCCATGTGTTCACTGTTATCATCGGATGAAGATCTTGTCGTAGGAGAGAAGAGCGGCCGAGGCACTGGCACTGCAGAGAACTCGGTATGACCTTCCGACGATACATTGTCCGACGACGACTGTGCGCTCCCAATTGTCTGTCCCCTCCGGCGTGGAATCGCTGTTCGACCGTTGCCCGCATAGCTTTCTTGTGAATGTGATCTGGCGCCGAGCGACCGGGAGTTTCGTGCGAGGGATCGCGAATCGCGTTCGGAAACGGAGGCGATTGTTGACAGCTGGGAGCTCCAGTGATGTACCAGCGACGGGTCGTGCATCCGGGATGCGATGTTGGGCGCGTCCTGGGATTCGGCTCGCGAGCTAGTGCCGGACGGCGCGCGTACGACGGGGTAATTAATTCGGATTCCGCTCGCGAAGGATGCTGTGCTGGCTTCATGAAGAGATGGCGATGGCTGCGATGAAGCTAGTGTATGTGTTGGTTCGATGCTGGTGTAGGAAATATCAGAAAACGTGAACGACTCTGTACTTTGTTGAGGATGCAATACAGGTTGTCGATAGTCAGTGTCACAAGTGAGAGCAGGCCCCCTAGCTTGACGTTCGGTTGCCGCTGGGCCTTGGGGAACTTCTGGTAACGGTCGACCGAAACTGACACTTGACGAGTTTCCGGCATTACTAATTGGGCGTGGTGTGGTGGTAGGAGCAGGTGAAGCAAAAGATGCAGCAGAGGCCTTAGGCGTTAATGCACGGTCGGAATCTCCTCCAGAAGAAGAGGGAGGAACAGCCCGGATAGTTGGCCTTGTAGATTGTGAGGAGACGACCTCCTCAAGTACCTCGAGGCCTTTTGGTTCATCTTCTAATTCCGGTGGGGGTGAGGATGGGGCAGTGCTCCCCTGGGAAAATCTTAAAGACGATGGCGTAAAAGAGGATGCTACGAGGGTATCTTCCTCTGACATGCTAGTGGAGCCCGAATGTCTGAAACCCTTCTTCCGTGACAGGATAGGCTGTGGTGTTCGCGCTCGGCTCGCCTCGAACTTTGCGATGGTACTGGCGACCTGGCTGCTATTTGAAACACGAGATCCCGGCCTTTCAAAGCCATAACCCGGCGCATGACGGGGTGGGGGCAGGATTTGCGAGGGTTCGCTGGGTACGGGATATTTCTGATAGATGTCATGTCCGGGATCTTGAACAATGCGGATGGTTGACCCAGAGTCGCGGTTAGTTTGCGAGTTTGAGCGTTCGTGAAGCGGTTTGCGGATAGGAGACGTGTTTGTTGACTGCGACTGCGGCGGGTCAAATCGAGGACCTTGTGCGAGTGTTTTTTCGAGTGCGTTTTGTGAGTCTGCGCGACTGTTGCGTTGTTGTGATGACATGGTGTGGTGGTGGTGTGGGCCGAGGATGCCGAGATGTGGACTGGTTGTAAACGCGTGCGGAGAAAGTCGAAACCGATCATTAATGACGGGGTGTGGGTAAAAAGACAGTAAAAAGAGGACGTAAAGACAGTATGTGAAGATAGTCAAAGAGTGACAAAAGTGCTAAAACATATCAAAAAGAATGGCGGCCCGCAGGCATTAACGGTATGAAGAATCGAGGGAGGGAGGACGAGGAGTGGTGGTGAGGTGAGGACGGCGGGCGTCTGGCAGCAGCTCGGCCTAAAGAGGGTTCGTGGCTGTATGCAGAAGCAGGTTCGCGCTGCAGGAGCGATCCAATTGACAGCTCAGCCCCGGCCAGTCTGGAGCACGACCCGCGACTTATGATGACTTGTACAGAGATGGACCCAATTCGCACAATATGACTTTCCTCTAGCCTATACCGGTCGACAAGATGATATGAGCTGCTGGATGCGCGGTCCACCTGGGAGTGCGATCACTGCGACGCGCCTGGGGAACCCTCGTCGAACAGCCTTCCTAGTCAATCGGGAGAAGCGCGTCGCGGTTGAACGTTTAAAATGAAATTATATTTTGGGACGGGCCAGTGACGACGCGCAGCGTGGCGGACTAGCCGTTGAATGGCAGAGAGGCTGGCCAGTGGGCCTTTGGTTGTGCGTGCTGCAGGGGTAACGCGGGAGGGCGTGCTAAGACGTCGTGGGCGCTGATGGCGCGAGTCGCAGGAGCCGAGACGAGGGAACGGACGATCGGAGCACGTGATCCAGCGTGACCGATGGGGCTTGGCGGGGTATCGATGGTGAAAGGCTGCGCTGCGCCAACAAGATGCGCGCGACAGCGCGGGGGGATCTCGTGCAGCTATAAACAACGCCCATGATTCTTTTCCTGCCTCTCCTGTAGTGCGTTTGACGTGCGGCTGCTTTTTTGCAACACCTCGCCATGCCTCCACCCCTCAACGGCTGGCGCGACAAGCTCAGTGCGCTCGAAGAGCTGTACCAGCGACATGTCAAGGGCGGTAAGTTGGCGCTCCTCCACCTCAAACCCTCTTAAACGCCTGCGCGACCCACATCGGACGAACTCTGTTGCGCTTTCCTGTCGAAACATCGCCATGAGCTCTAACGTAGTGCCAGTTCCCAAACCGCCTGTTCTTTCGTCGAGAGTTGCGGCGCTTCTGTCGGTACGTTTCAAGTTTGCTCCCCACCACCACTGCCATTGTTCTCACCCAATGGCACCGCACGCGCCAAACATGCTGAAGTAGCTAACACCCACGCCTGCAGGCTGCCTATGTCTTCATCTACGTAATCCCCTTCTACCTGTCGCCCGCCACGCGACCCTCTCCGACTCTTACGCGCGATGCGCCGTCGTCGATACGCGCCCGGGTGCGCGCAGTGACCTTTTCCACCGTCCTATGCTCCGTCCTCACCATCGTCGTACTGTACCAACATGACGCATCGGCCATGGAGATCATCCGCTTGCTTGGCATCTGGCCTGTTTCACTTGTAGATACCATGCGGACCATGCTTCTGGTGACTATCCTCTTCGCGGGCCCCATCTTCGAGCATGGCATTGTAGACGGTGACTGGAGAGACTGGATCAAACTAAAGGGCGTCCACGAGACCCTGAGCAGCTGGATCGGATACAGGAACTACGTAGTCGTAGGTCATCTACTCCAGTCCACCCCTTCCCATTCTAACTTGCCCAGGGCCCCGTTAGTGAAGAAGTCGTGTGGCGCTCGTTAATCATCCCCCTCCATGTCCTCGCGCAGTTCTCCGGCAAGCAGATCGTCTTCCTCACGCCACTGTACTTCGGCATCGCGCATCTCCACCACCTCTACGAGTTCCGCATAACCCACTCTGAAGTCCCGTTCTTCGTCGCCGTGCTCCGCTCACTCTTCCAGTTCACATACACGTCGCTCTTCGGTTTCTTCGCTGCCTTTGTCTTCATAAGAACCGGAAATGTCTACACGTGCATGATAGCACATACCTTTTGCAACTGGATGGGCCTTCCGCGGTTCTACGGCCGTGTCGGTGTCGAAGCCGGCAGTCCCATCGGACCACCAGACGTTGACAAGAAGGACGATGAGCAGAAGAGCGTCCCACTGTATCAGGGCAGGGGTGTTGGATGGACCGTGGCCTACTATATCGTGCTTGTAGCAGGCGCTCTGGGCTTCTACTATCAGCTCTTCCCGCTGACTGAGAGCAGTCACGCCCTGCCTGTAGACTTGACGAAGTCGTAACATCACCATACGTAGTTGGAACGCACCAGGCTGCAAGCAGTAGACCACACTTAGATGCGCTGCACGTTCACGTATGAGGTATAGCACAAGTAAATATCACTGAGATGCTCATCTGAGTCTCGCAATAGCCCACCAATTATCCTTCTCATACCCCGACTCCAATACAACTCCACCAGCCTGCTCAACATCCCCTTCCAGCTCCCCCTTCCGATACAGATGATAATACCTCAAGAACGTCTTATCACCATCCGGCTTCGGTGTCCCTTCCTCGTCAGCCTGACTCTCATCCTTCTTCTTCCTCCGCCCCTTCTCTTTCTCTTTCTTCTGCTTCAAGACCCACGGCACCATGACGTCCTGCTCATGGCCCTCGTCCCAACCTCGTCTACTGTCTTTCTGTTCAAGTGCCCAGACATAGATGAGTGCTCTGCCACCCTCCAGTCCAGCACCTCCACCTTGGTTCGACGGTGACGAAGGCCGCAGTAAATCCAAAACACACTTCACAGCCTCTACTCTCCGTGCCGGCGTCGACAAATGATGGATGACCGCTATCGAAATTGCGAAATCAAAAACTCCATTTGGATGAGGCAGAGAGAGGTTGTCTGCCACCACTACATCGTGCGGTTCATGTTGTTTCGCAATTTTGACAAGGTTTGTAGATCTGTATCGACGTTAACTTCCAAGCACGAAAGCCATTACTACTCGTAGGATAGACAATTCAATGAATAAGAAATTATAACATACCGATCACTACCCACAATCCATACCTTCTTATTAACAGCCAAATACTTCCCATTCCCACACCCGACATCTGCGCCTATGGCGCCGTCATGTTGTTCCTTGAGGAAACGCTCGACTATGGGCCAAGGCTAGCATTCGCGTTAGTCATGCATGCGGTTTTGAAATGTGTGTGAAGGGTGGACGCACACCTTGTAGCGAGTAGAAGAAAAGTGGGATGCAATTTCTTCATAGACTGAGTGTACGTGCTCGGCTTCATAAGATGCGCCTTGGGTTTCTGAGGTTGCCATGGTAGTTATTGCATCGGTGGGTGAATGGAGATGTGACTGCAGGAAGGGCTGATGTGCGTGCAGTGGTGATGGATGGGGGAAGGGCCAATGGGGGGTGGAGGGGGTGCCAAGACGCTATGTGGGCATGCGAGTGTGCGTTTCGATCGTTCCGTCTTGCATGCTCTACACTGACAAACTCTCACGATGTCATGAAAACGTCTTGTGTGAAGGCTCAGCGTTGAGACAACTTTTAACTACCTGGCAGATATCGAAAACTGACCACTACGTGTGGCAAAATAGCAAGCACCTATCCCAGAACGCAATGATGCTGAAGCTTGCATTACATGCATCTCTTTTCTTTCTCCGCCCTGATTAAGAGACGGCCTCGCTCATCAAACTACGAATTTTTCTGCTCAAGATGTTGTAGCCTAAGGCTTTGAGCGTTCTGATGGCTTTTCTTAGCATGAATCTTCACGAAGGCTGTGTGTATGCTACTCAGGTTATCGAAATCTGGGCTATGTCCTTATCTCCATTCTACTGGATGCGACAACTTCAGACTTGCGGCAACTACAGGGCATGTCACATCGCATTCATCATGTCCGCTTCCGCCTTTCTTTGGGTGCATGTCAAACGATGGCAAGAGGACAATGGCGGTTGACGTCCCATCCATTGTTCCTTTGTGACGGTCATCTCGTGGCTTTTAAACTCGCAGTTTCCCGTCATCGATGCCAGTACTTTGTGAACACTATCGTCTTCTTTTCCAAACCTCAGGTCAATTTAGCTATTCTTACAGAAATTTCACATCCAAGATGGCCATCCCTAGGGTATATAGAGCCCCAGCGGGCAGTCGACGAAGCGCCCGTATCCCGGCGGCTATAACCGGTACTCCAGCTAACGCGCGTGTTAGCCTTCGTTCGGACTTGCAGGAGAATCGGGACCGCATAGTATGTTCGTTCCCGAGCTTTTTTGTTCTTACTGATCATCGCTTAGGCAACACGTATAAGTAAGAGATGGCTTATGCGTGGGCGTGCTGGACCACAGAGAAGCAAAGGCTTCACAACTAATACCAACTGGTGCTACATCAACGCCGCGCTCCAGGCCCTGATGCATCAGCCCCAGTTACTGAACTGGCTTCAAAATCATGATCGCCCGGTCAGACGAGGCACTGGTGGCAGTAACATACGTAATGCCTGTCATGCAAATCCTCCACAGTATTGGGGAGCAGCTACCAATAATGCGGTGCCAGATTGTACTGGATGCATGATGAGAGAGCTGGTCAACACTTATTGGGCCAACACTCCCAACGCCACAGTCGCCCCCGACATGCCAAGAATACAAGGAATCGCATTGGCTGGTGACGTCGCGCAGTTGGCCGCCAACGGTTCGATGGTTCAGATGGACTCTAACGACTTTTATCAGGTGATTCTGCAGCGTTTGCAGGTCGCCAGTGAGTGAGTAAACGCCCATTAGTAAATTATCAACATGCATACTTACCAGTTCTAGGACGCAAGAATGGGAAGAAGACTTCCGCGCACTATTCCAGCTCGACAGACAAGAGAACGGCCGATGTATGACATGTGGTCACGAAAGGCTCATTGCGAAGATCCAAGAAACCGGGATCCTTCTAAATGTTCCCACGGCCACAACAACTTTCAACGCAGCGCTGTCGAGATTTTTTCAAGAGCATAGAACGATACACTGCGCTATCTGTGCAAGCAATACTAACCATCTAGTCACGACCAGTATTCAAGCTGGTCCTCAAATCCTGAAGATCAAACTTGCCATCTTCCAAATGAAAAAGTCGGAAAAGAAAGACAAAAAAGGCAATCCGCAGCCTGCTACGGAACACAAGATCAACCACCGCATGGCTCACCCCAACATACTCGACCTAACTCAATATCAAGAGAATGCTCATCTTCCCCTCCGCTACCGGCTATCTAGTGTCATCTCACACTCCGGCGAAGGCACAGAGAGCGCAGGTGGACACTACATCGCGAGTGTTCGCGGCCCAGGCGGCCGTATCACTTGCATCTCTGATTCTGTGACAGAGACTTTTACACAGGCTCAATTTGAGGCAAGTCCACAGGTGGCCGGAATATCTCCCCCAGCAAAGGAGGCTTATGTACTTACCTATCTGAGGGATGACGGGAGGTTGCAACGGGAGATGAAAAATCTCGAGTCGACGTTGAATTGAATGGGTGTGGTAAGTTTGGTTTTGGCATTTCCCCTCTTTGTTTTTTTAGGCATGCATGTATTGTAGTCACTGCTTTTAATCACCCATGCCGTTACAGCATCGTTATTTTGAGTACGATGGACCAGTCGTGACATCTAAAGCATGTATTCCAGTGCGGTTGCCCGCGCAAGTGGGATCTGCGGGCCCGCCTGCTGAATGACGTCTTCGATCTTGGAGCTGGAACTGTGAAATTGGTCTCTCATCGTCAGTACCAAAAGCACGGCACATGCAGAAACTTTATCATTTCCGACTACGAGGGTGGCGCGTTCTGGCCGCGAAGTGGATGCTCCAAATGAGATGGCTGGAGCCCTGGGCCAAAGACACGCTAAAACGGGCGGGGCTTGCACATGTGAGCTCGCGCGACGCGTCAAGCTTCCGACACTGCGCGATGTGCCAGCAACACGTGGAATATGAATTCATCTCTTATGCGCCTGAAGCTGGCTAGAACAACGATGGGAGTGATGAATTAAGGTTAGCAATTTAATAAGTATCGAGAGGTATCACGACCAGCGAATCCATTCATTCCACTTACCGTGAATGACGGCAAGCGTCAAGAGAAACAAGACATCCGCTAGATCCTCGACATTCAGATATTTCGCACCTGCATAGACACCCAGAACGGAAGAGCAACGAGAAACCCTTATTGTCCATCGCCGCTTTCACACTTCCGTTTCCAAATATGGGTGTTTAACCGGCGGCGCATCACTGGACGATGGCGCTGCATGATAGATGGAACTTCATCAACCCATATTGCGCCGCGTACTGGATCGCGAATTCTCGGTAGAAGAAGCCCTCTGCCGCGTGGCGCTCGCGGTTCCTACAAGATTCAGATCGTCTGCAGAGAATCCTAGACGCTTGGCTATTCGCATCTCACAGCACTTCACACCCAAGTTGCTGCAACGCATCCCAAAGTTTCCCACCGCCCAGAATGTACATCTCGACGCTCATCACAACTATTCTCTTCGCCACTGCTGCTCTCGCAACACCATACCCGTGGGCTGCACCACAAGCCAGCATCGCTCCTGCACCCAGCGGAACGCGCAAACACAACCGCACGCATAGCCACAGGCACAAAGAACCGACACCGACGTTCAAAGAGCCATGCAAATGCGCTATGCCGATTGTGCCGATGAACTTGCTTAGCACGAATGAGAAGTGCTTGATGAAGCATGCTGCTGAGATGGGCTGCTACATGAGCTCCAACGGTGGATGCCCGTCGCCGGCGCCTGCTGTAAGTATGAGCCTGAAAGGGAAGGGGGTATGCTGACGAGGTGTAGTGTGGACTTGGGCCGCTGCCGGGTATTCCGATGCACTAGACAGCGATGCAAAGATGTGTTCAAAATCATCGATTGGATATTGGTAGGGAAGCGACTGGGTCTATTGCCATACGTATCGCGCCTCGCCGATGATGCACGGAATTTACTCATGTATATCCTTCTCAAGTCATTTTTGAAAGCCATGTCATCCCCGAAGCCTTCGCAGCACACTTTGCTGTCATATAAGGTTCCCTCGTCACTACTCTGACTTCTTCTTTCTTCCCCTGGTCTCTTCCCTGCCCTCTTCCTCCCTCTTCCTCTTCAGTAACTTCTCACTCACAATAACCCTCTTCCGGTCCTCCTTCAACGCCTCGGAATGATCAAAGAACATCATCTGATCCGGACATCCAATCTCGGGCCGCTGAATCTTGTTTTCGATACCCGCTTCCTTCAACAGCGCCGGCACGTCGGAGAGCATCGTACGATATTTGCCCTGCTCGCGACACCATATGATCATCTTCGTCAGTGGTCCGGCATCCTCGCCAGTCGGTAGTTCCACCAGCCCATGCGCAAGGCCGACTAGCGGGTAGTCGGCTAGCTCCCATTGATCGTAAGTCCAACCTTGAGCCGTATATCCTGACTTCTCGTCACCGGAGCGAATAATCTTGACGCGCGTACCGTCTTCCGCTGTTTCATACAGCATGTTGCCATAGATGCTACTAGTCTTCCTTGCTGCATCGCCCTCGAGCTTTCTAGTCAGATTGATCATGTTGGCCACATCCCCGCTAGACAGACCTGCCACGACGAATCGATCGGCCGCCTTTCTCCAGTAGTAATGCCAAGGGAAGTAAGACAGCAGCTCCTTCAAGGTGAACTCCACGTCTTCGAGAAGAGCGATGTTGATATGAACCGGTGTCGCAACACTCTTGAATGCACAGAACTCTCTGGTATCCTGGTTGACAAGAAAGATCTCGGCGGGATCGGAGGCAAGAGTGGCAATGGTAGTCGACATCAAACTCGCGATCGGTTGCTTGAAGCGGCGGGCTATGCGATGGCTGCCAGTACCCCTCCAGGTCTTGCCAGGAGAGGCGATAAAGCTCGATGTTGGCTTGATGTCGTGCTCAGCCAGCCATCTCCATGCATCAGGTAAGTCGATGATACCGTCGGGACAGTCCCAGGCTTCATTGTAGTGAGGTGGAGCGACCGGTGTGAAAATGAATGGGCTTGAGGGCGGGGAATACGATTCACTCTCGCGCTTGGTCATGGCTTCCGATGAGGGTGCGTGGAAGTCCACTTGACCCTCCCATGGCAGAGTCCAGTCGGTGCCGTCAAAGTTGTAGACCTCGGCATCGCTTCCGTCGCTGAGCTTGAGCATGTCTGGCAACATGCCATATTCCGGATGTAACTCACCGCCGGGGACGTACTGATGAAGACCTTGCTGGTGAAGTTCCTCGCATGTCAGCGGCATTGGTCCGACTGGTGTGAGCTTAAACGCCTGGCGATAGGGATCGAAAACGATCGGCAGTAGGCCGGACCACGAAACTTGCTTCCAGCCCATTGGAAGCATGAGTTTGGGTACCAACTTGAAATCGGGCAGTCCACCTATGATTGGAACGAAAGCCTGATGGAAGAGGAGACGGGGATCTAGGGCAGGGTACGGGTAGGATGGGTGAGTGCTGCCGCCCGGAGGGTACTGAAGCTGCCAGGACAGCGAGTGAATAGTTGGCAGTCCATCGAACGGTACGGGGTCGGCCTTAACAGGCTCAGTACTGAAGCTGGCCTCTGAGTGCGCTGCGTTCTCCGGTGCTTTCGGTGCGGGGAGTAGCTTGCGAAGAGCCCTGGGGGCTGCGACAGGTATCTGAACAGTGTCTTGAATGAAGGAAAGCGGTTAGCAAATGCGTTGGAAACATTGGCAGACGTGGCACTTACATATCGGCTTGGGTTGCTTGCGCAGTCTGGTACTCCGGCGGGTTGACGAAGGACTAAGAGCCTGCTCAAGCTCGCGCGCAAGCATCGCATCGTCGTGTGTAGATTTATCTGATGTCTGCGAAAACGTGGGTTTGGCGTCATCGATAGCGCCGCCATCAGTATGAACGCGACTCTGTTCCGAGACAGGGACTTGATCGACAAATCTCTTGGCTGGAGAGAAAGAGGCCTGCCAAACTAGCTCGGTCTGCGTAGAGTCTGCTACTGAAGTCGTAGTTCCTGCATCGCGGTGGAACGTGGGTGTCTCCGGGGATGGCAGTCCATGCCAGAGTATCGGCACACGCTTCTTCTTGGGAGTGGATGGCTGCTCAGGCTGCGCTACATCCCCGTCCTCGTCTTTGGTGATAGCGGTGTGAATGTATGGCTTCTGGTCGCCCGAGTCGCTCTTGCCATCAAAGACGTTGTAGAGTCGTGACAATGCTGCGTCGCGTCGTCGATTATGCTTTGCAGTCTCTACCGCCGCAATAGCGGAAGCGCGACCGTCAACGCGTTGCTGATAGCTTGCATGCTCGTGAGGAAGACCGTCGTGAACTTCAGGTAGAACCTGCGGCGAGTTCACGTTGCCTGTCTACGTGTTAGTGTTCGACTCGCGCCCGATCAATCTAGCAGATAAACTTACTGGAGCTGATATAGGCCTCCCTGGTGGGAGAGGGCGTACGCCAAGTATGTCCCATGGTTTCTGGCGATTGCGTACTTGCAGTAGTAAAGTGCGGATCGGTGGAAGAAAGCATGCTGGGCGAGTTGAAGTCAAAAGCCCTTGTCTAGCGCTGCAGCGAGGAGGAGGAGTGGTGATAAGAGCGATGATATCAAAATACCAAATGGGGAAGATGAAGATGACGAGACGTGCTGGCTTCACCTTCACTTCTTGCGCACGGACGCGTCATTGTGAGCGCTAGCCGCGTGGGAGTGGAGGTGACGGCGACAAGGCATAAGAGGAAAAACGCTCTTCCAGTCGTTTGAAAGAATGCATGGAACAGAGTGTGCGATAGTATATCAAGATGTGAGCAGAAGACTTAGAAATAAAGACGAATGTAGACTTGACAGACGACATCTTGACTTGCTAATACGAGTTAATGCTGATAGACAGCGGTTTGTACCAGCTGAAATAGAACAAAGTTGAGCTAATCCCTACATGTGTCTACCATGTAGTGCCCAATGCGCCAATCGCTGGGCCTTCGCCATCGAAGAATTCCTCATCCAACAGGCTGAGCAGTACCTGTTGACCCACCCACTGTTCTTCAGCCGCAGGCCTGATCCTCTCCGGAGGCAAGACGAAGCCAAAGTCACCGGTATCGGGCAATTCGATGGTCATGGAGAACTTGGCGCGACCGATGGTGTACACATGGTCGATAGACGCACCGGTTGTCGGGTACAAGGTTGCTCCACTAGGGCCGTAGGTGTAGGTAGTCGCGTTGGTCGAGTAGTAGGCAATGTTTTCGCTCATCAGGGCAGCGGCCTTGGTCCACATACCGAGCTCTGGAGCGTAGAGAGTCTCCTTGTGGCCGAATGGGTACAGGATCAGCTGGGAGTAGCTGTGCCAGTCAATGTATAGCTTGATACCTTGCTCATCGCGGATCTTGCGGATCAGGTTGTCCATTCCCAGGTTCTCAGGCGTGTCGCGGGGCGCTTCTCCCCTGTATGTCTGCGAGCATGGGTCTGTTGAAGCTCCGCGTGGGTCAGCATCCCAGTTCCTGAGATTATATGTCAGTGCATGCCATACACATAGGGCAGAAACTTCGCTTACGTCTCCCAGTTGCGGTTCACGTCGCGACCATAGCATGTCTGATTGGCAGCGTTCTCTGGTGGCGGCATACGGTTCTTGCGCCATAGGCGGTCGTCTGTTTGAGAAAAGACGAAGCCTAGCATGTATTAGCAAAGACCAGTGGATCTATCCTTGGCGATGTGACATACCATCGGGGTTGACAAAGGGAAACATGTAGATGTCGTAGTTATCCAGAATGGCTTGGGTGTAGTTGTTGCCTGCCTTGTATTCGTAGGTGAGGGCTTTGGCGATATACTCGATGGTCATAGCAGTGATCCATTCACGAGCGTGAACAGTTCCGTGGTAGATGACCGCAGGCTTTCCTGGACCGTCTTTTCCATAGAGATGAACGCCGAACATGTCGCGCCCCTCAAAAGATGTTCCAGTGCTCGTCCAGTTCGAATTGTCTGGGAACGATTCCTGTAGATCGCGCCACCACGTAATGTGCTAATAATGGCCAGTCAGCTTTGGATCGAATAGCAGTGACACATCACCTACGTCTTCATACGGGTGGTAGCTATCAAACCAAGCGTCTTCTGAACCGTTAGTTTGCCTCTTCCAGGCCTTCTTGACGTGCGATTCCCGGGCGATAGAATCGGCGAGGTTCTCATGCAAGGTTCGGGACTTGAGCCCCAAAGCCTTGAAAGCGTCCAACTGCCCTGGTGCAATAAGAACATCCAGGTTTCCACGAATCTCGTTTAAAGTCTCGTGAGGAACAGCAGCAAGAGCTCGCTTTGCTGCAGCATATTGGGATCCAGTAGCTCGGACGCGATGGACTTGGTACCCATCATATGTACGAGGCTGTGGGCTGCGGATGGTCGCACCTGCAACGAGGGATAGCCAGGCAAGGCTGAGTACGAACTTCATGATGTTGTTCCGCCACGGAAGCGATCAATTGACGAGCGTGAGGTATTCAAGATTGTAGAAGATGGGCTTTATATAGCTGACCATCTTCCTCACCTAGGCGCATTTTAGTTTGCTGGCACCATGATAAGCACAAAGCGTGTTCTTCCAAGCCCTGACCATGGACATTGGCAGCTCAACGTGCGCACGGTGACATGATTGATGTTGCCCAAGAGCCCGGTTAATCATGGATGAGGTGTAATCGGGACGTTTCCCCAAGACGTGGTGGCCTTGACCTGCCAGTTCTGCACTAGACCTGCCATGGCATTCCTGGGCGAGGGGTAGCAACGTCATCTGCGGGCTTACTTTGTTCGTGAGCAAATACGTTATTTCGGTGGAGGTAAGCCGAGCACGTTCTGTCGCGTTGCGTCTACAGGCATAGGTTGCGGCGTAGCAGGCTGGGCGGAGTTGCTGCTCAGGCGGGCTCTAAGGCTGTCCTCCGCAAATTGCCCAAGTGCGACGATGTCAGGGCCAGGAACAATATAGTGAGATCTGAGCATCTCCAGGCAATCATTGTACCGAACGACCCTGCGAACTGGTCGTACTGTAATGCACCGACCCGGATGCCGCAAGGAAATGAGGGGAAGCCGCGGATAGAGTGAAGAACCTTGGAATAATCTCCGGACGGAAGCGGCGCTAGAGCGGAACCGGATAAGCGGCTTCCCCGACGGATTGGCCTCAAGTGCTGCCGCTGCCGACCCCATCCGTGACCCCAATCATCGCATCGCATCACATCACATCAGCGACTGCAGCATCGACCAGGATACGAATGCCATGGAGAACTGCAACTATTGTTTTCTTGAGGCCAACTGTTTGCCAACCAATACGGCCACCGCATGCTACAGCCAGAACTTGCAGAAACATTTGCCATCCAGCAATCTAAAGTCGTCCGCAGACATTCAAGTATCGACTTTGCTAGCAGATGATTAAAGTGCAGTAATGTCTGTCATTAAGGTTGTTACATCGGAAACACAGCTCAAGAGCCAGAACCTCACGTCAAACCGTCTACATCGTTGGCGCCGGAGATTTTGCTTCATGCTACACGATGATGAGAAGCAATCGACAGGCCGGGATGTATATCTTGAGTCTGTGCAATGTCGGTTATCAGGTCGCATTCTTCGCATCACCAGAATCAGTCTGTCTTGAGTCTTCTTACGAGCATTGAAACAAAGAGTCGAACAATGTTCGACTCGACGTCTTTGTTTCCTTGTCGCCTCGGCCTCCACACACTCCTCTAGATGTGCGGTCCTCCTGTTGTATACACAGTGTCTTTAGTACACATAACGGCGAGTGAAAACAATACTGGCCAGCAGGTGCTGAACTTTCACTCCACCACGGTAAACTCCCCTTCTTTCGATTTGATATTATCCCACGAATCTCAACTTCAGTGAGCACAACTCAACTGTCTCACCCCTGACCAGCCAAAGCAACTGTTTTACCCTATACTCAGGCTGCATTGATACCATGTCTCCAATCACATTCACGCGGGACGAAGTCCAGGATATGCTCGACCGAGCACAATTAAATGCCGGCCATCTCTTCGCGAACCTCCCAGACGTGCGCGAACTGCTTCAAACACAGCATCAAGAGAGCCTGATGGAATGCAACTCCCGGGGTATTGATCAAATGAAGGTGCTTCATCAATCAATGCATGAGGAGTGCAAGATCATCGATGGCCACAACAAACACCGCCTTGGGAAGGCGAGAACCGCCTTCAATGATCGCGTTATCGACCCCATGATTGCTGTAGAATACAGGGAAGAAGAAAATATCCCTGCAGACCTCCGGTGGTATCCACTACACGCTGAGGTTGCAATCCACGATGGGTACGCTACAGCTCATCTCTTTGATCAGCCTGAAAGTGACGAAGAAGACTACCAAAACTATCCAGAAGACCAACCTGCCTTCATTGGAAATGGAAACGAATCCCCAATTCCTGTCGCTAACCAAGACATTGCTTCCAGTAAGATTGTCAAAAGGAAACCGATTCCCGAAGGAAGGAAATCCACAGGCCCCGGTAGCCCAAAATATGATAAATTGAAGGATGCGCCTTCGGCTTGGCTAGATCTTCCCCATGGCAACCTAACTTTGGCAGAAACACTTGCTTTCATTCCGCATGCCATCAAATCCTTCGACATCATGGACCGTTTTCTCCACAATGGCGCCCTATCGGGGACCTTTGCAGACATGATTAACCATTACCGAGACATGCCGTACGGTCCGATCACGAACAATACGGTATATCGGATGATGAAGGGACCAATGCTCCATCGCGCGAAGACCGAGCCGACTTACGAGGATTGGACAGTATCCAAACATACGACTTTACCGAAACCTGCTGGATTTAATCCCACCAGTGTCAGCGTAGCAGGCTTTGCCCCACCTTACAACTTCAACTCCCGTGAAAGGGCTGTGGCAACCACTCAGTCCCCTCCTAGCATTCCATTTCGCGATATGGCAAACGGAGTGAAGATCATGCCTTCGGGACATGATGCGCTAGATCTTACACGATGTGTGCAGTATTGCGTGAAGAATAACGATTCGAGCTGGCAATATCCTCAAGATTTCCAGAACCTGGTTGCTCGACTCGGGGGTGCTTCTACTGTGCACCCACACCATCACGACGATGCTGCAATTCGGAGACACACTTCCGAAAAGAAGCGGAACAATGCGAAGCGAGCCGGTGCACGACAGCGTGATAGGAATGGGCGCCTCATGAAACAGCCGAAGAACTTCGTGGTTGACTCGGATGAAGAAGAGATACTGGATGAAGACTCTGGAGAGGAGTCTGAAGCAGATCTAGATAACTTCGATTTTGATGCTTTGGACATTGACGATGATGAGCCAGTCACTACCACTAAGCAGGGTTCGAGGCGTAAGAATGTCATGGAAGATGACACGTCGGACGAAGATGAACTCATGCCGCGAACCCGTAACTCGTCGAAACGCAAGCGTACTTTCAATGGAGACGAAGACACCTCACCTAAGCAAAAGTCCAAGCGCAGCAAGAAGACGTCGCCAAGGACACCTGCACGTCGCTCACCAAGAACCCGGTCGTCATCACGCCTTAGCAAAGAGGTGCTGCCTGAAGCGGACGACTCTGATTCTGATTCTGACGCTTATGCCGGACCCAAGAAGCGGACCAAGAAGGCCAAAGTTAGCACGCGATCGTCTCCTCGCGGCCAGCGCTTCGGTGGCTCATATGATATCCAGAACGCCGTAGATGGCGAAGAAGATGATGACGAAGAGGACGAGAATGAAGTAGAACACACTCTAGCTCCGAACAGGCAGATCCTTACTCCGGCGGAGATGCGTATGGTTGGCCGCACGGGGAACACGGGTGTAAACAACGTTGTCGAGGATGACGAAAGCGATATGGGAGAAGATGACGAGGACTTTGATTGGTGAGTTGAGAGCGATTCACGTCGGCGGCATTACAATGGAATGTAACATGTCTTTTCTTTGCGACAGTGCATCTTTCTAGGCCTGTCTCCTGTTGCGGAATCATGTGGCCTATATGCATAGAGTAAATAGAGCTGCTTTCATACAGAACACTCTTACTTTTCTTGGATAGATATCGGTCTCCTCATCGTATATTCATCAATGCACTACTCGCAGCGGTTGATCAAGGTGAAAGCGCATTGTAGCATACGATAATTAAAGATCAATCTGCCGCGCGATGAATCATGATCTTGCGACATTTCTCTCCTATCCGCTCGTACAACGTTTTTCTCCAGCTTTTCAGATACGGTGCGGACAGCAGCTGTTTGCTGAGACGGTGAGAATGCGCGCGCTAAGTCGTTGCCTTGGCGATACTGGGCTCCACGCTCGCTTTTGTCCCACGACAAAGCCAAACAGAGTATCAATACTACAGTCACAGTCACTCCTCTCTGTTACTTCGATCTACCTCACCTTATACGCAGAAATCACTATTCCGAAAGTACTGGCGGCGGGCTGTTGGCATCATGGCTTACGGTTCGGTCGCCACGCTCAGTACTGTCGAGACAAGGACTGGCGGGAACGAACCTGCCGTACCATCGTCGAGACAGCACAATAGACTTCATGGCTATGGCCAACTTGTTGGCGTCTCTAGCGTTCCACTCATCGGTTCAGAGCGTTCCAATGCTTCAGGTAGAGTTCACTTGAATATCCACCGATCTTGCACTAATTCCGCACAGTTACGACCATGCTTCCTCCCGCTGTCAACGTTCCGCAGTCTTCGCGTCCAGTCACTACGCCAGCCGACGAGTATGCCAGGCTCACGCGTAGGCAGCAACGTGACGCCAGAGAGAAGAGGCGAATCCAGAAGGCTGCACGTGCCGCCAGGGACGAGTTGTACAGGGCCCGACAGGTTGTCAAGGACGCGCAAGAAGTAGCTCGAGCTGCGAGGTTACGTGCTTCTCGTTACTCCTACATTCCAGCACCCAGAAACACCAGAGCTGTCTCTTCGACTCCACACACTGTCAATGTGAAGGCCAAGAAGTCCAAGAGCAAGTCTGCGGGCTCGGTTCATTCAGCCCCCATGGACATGGACGAGACATGGTCCTGGATCAAGGACAGTTCGTCAGCAGCCTCCCAGAATGGCAGCGCGCATGCTCGTCACTGATCTCTTCGGGCACCTCAGTGGATCGGATTTCGTCATGGCTATAAGAGTGCCTTTTCTGTGAAGGACGGAGATCTTTTTAGCTGGGTACCATACGTCGAGTGTGTGTACGCTTGGAGGATGAGAGTCTGAGAGTGGGCATTGTTCTGCGAAGTGTCAGTGGCCTGAAAGCTTGTCTAGCAAGTTACCGATGCAGGAGGGCACTTCCACTTCTTTGCTATCGGAGGTGGACAAGCAATTTACAGCCTCGTCTCACATCTTAGAAAAGCAAAATCGTGAAACACATCACTGAACCGAAGATCTTGTGGGGCGAAAATCGTGCATTACATACATTATGAAGGCTAGCGCTGGTTCGTAGCTGGCCAGCCGCGATGTGAATTGCGCCTGCTGTCTCCGGGCCCGCGCCCCCCACCCCCGCTTACTAACCCCAACCTGACTCCCAATATCAGCTGCCTTGCGATTTTCTTCCTGCTTCCTCCCTCTCATGTTGCGTTTTCATAATCGCGTTTCTCGCTTGTGATGCGCGTTTTATTTTGCGGCGGTAGGCACGGCGCTGCCGACGATGCCCGGGCCCGCTTTCGGCGATAGCGCCTACCTGATTGCCCGAAGAGCAAGTCACCACCCACTGCCGCTACTGTGAACCATGGAAACAGTCGATCAACACGCGCGTTTAGAAGGTCCTTATAGGGATACAAACCCTTTCTCCCTAGGTAACATCACGCTTTTAATGCTACGTCGTCGCACAATGGGGCAACTCTCTCGTTTGTCTCTCACGTCCACCACTGCCTATTGAGGTCATTCTCACCATGGTGAAAACGGAGGACGTGAGAGGATCATCGTATAGCTCGGCGTACAATAGCTTTGTGGCTCTACATCACCACCCTGAGGGCTCAAGACCTCAATGCGAGCCTTGGATTGCAACTCAACCAGACAGTCAAAAGCTACACTCCGACAACGCCCACGACACCCACACCACTACGCATTGCGCAAAAGAGCCACTATCACCAACCATCCGGCCGCCTCACTATGGCTCCAGCTCATTTACACTCACAGCGCGTTGGGAACCCACACAACTATGGTTTCCGCAAGTCGAAGAGAACAGAAGACGCACGCGCAGTGCCCAGCTACCAGCAGAAGACTCACTTCCACGGCTACTTCAACGGCACCCCGCCACCCGATCCACCTCATATAGCGCCGATCATTCCTACACAACAAAGACGAATTCCGCTGGCGCCCTACTTTCATGAAAATGTTGCGATGAATGCGCAGGTTGCGGCGTACGAAGATGCTGTCACCACTAGAGTCTGGCGTAACGAGTGGGAAGTCGTGCCAGAAAACTTTGGCCCATGTCGACCTCTGCTCCTTCTCAACCGGCCTGCGAACGTCGACCTAATGAGTCACACATGGGAAACAGAGTCGGTTCATCTATGTCACTGGGATCAATACCACGAGCCAGAAGGCGTGCTTTCTCAACGCCTGGCAAAAGAGAGAAGGGTTAGGAAAAAGAAGCTGCTCTTGAGAAACAGCAGATTCGAGCAAGACAAGAGACGCAAGAAGGTGAAGCTGGCAGCTGCGACTGCGGAGGTTATCGATTTGACTCAAGATAATACTGTTGAAGGTGGAAACTTCCCGAGTTATGCTGGCATCAAAGAAGTTTGGAACTATCCGCTAGGATATTTTCCCAGCTGAAAGGGCGTTTGAAGCTGCTAGGCCTCTGAGTCCGGAATTGGTACGCCTTTAATCATGCCACATTCAGAAAGTCTTGGAGATATTATACGAGATGAGCATGAAAGCCAGATCATATTCACTTCCTTCAGAATGCCCTCGTTCTTCAATCTTTCCAAGGCGACGATTTTCGGCGCAGAAATGAAGCTCTCTTATCGAACATACTAAGGGATACGAAGCCATGGTAGAATAGGCTTCACCGCAACGGTCAGTGAAAGTTAGTTCACTCTCTTCGTATTCACTCTGCTTGCTGTTGCGCCTCAAGTATATCAACCGCTCTACTCTGCCCTTGGCACAGACCCACCACCTCGCAACTTACCACCACTCTCGCTAGAATCTACTAGAATTGACTGTAACTGTCTCGAAGATAGTATGAGTTTCACGGAGCCTGATACAGTCTACACGCCATTACCACACCGAAACGCAATGCAAGCGGGCCCTGGAGGTTCGCCTACGCCACATCAACTCCCTACAAAGAAGGGTGATGACACAGCAGTGCCAAAAGCTCCTGCGAGAGGAAAGCCTCGCGCTCAATTCCTGGTTGACATTCCGGCCCACGAGTATAAGCTGCGTTGCGATAGGCCAATCAATGCAACTCTCGTGGATCTGATTGTAATACTCCCACAATGGTTCCGCAATCCTGCTGTCGCATACCGCATGCTGAACAACGGCATCACTGCTGCAGTTCACTTTGCAATTCTGGACAAGCATCGTCACCTCGGCTTGACCAGTTCCGAGGAAGCAGAGCGCGCCCGCGACCATATCTCGGACACATATCGAAAGACGATGCGCAGAACCTACCCAACCTGGACCAAAGCGAAGCATTACGTCCCAGGTAACTGGGATAAGTCGGTGATGTGCATCAACAATTTCCTTCCGGAAGCTGCAAAGAAAGCTGATTATGTTCCACCGCCATCAATACCATTCAAGAACTTAGCGATTGGTCTGAAGAGTCTGCCCGTGAATGACGACATGGGTGATCTTACTCGCGCATTGGACTTCGCGCTGCGGTACCAGAAGCTTGATGAGCACGGCCAGCTGACGGACTTCATGTTCCCGGATGATATCCAGATCATTCTCGGATGCATTGGTACCGTTCAAACTACCCGAGAGATTTACGATGATGCTGTTATAAGTCGATACTCCGAAGCGGTTCGAGTGGCAGAAAGTGAGCGTCGTAAGCAGCTGAATGAACAGCGGCGCCAGCGACAGGCTGCCGAGGAGGAGGCTGCTCAGTCCGTTCCCTATTTCTACCCTGGTCAGCCTTCGCCGCTTGGAGCCTTTCCGATGGACCCATTGGCTCAACAGCAAATGCAGCCGATGGCTGGCTTCTCGTCCTGGGATGAAGGGTACAGCAGTATGCCTCCGACGGGAATGGGCGTCTTAATGCCGAATGCTGTACAGCATCCACCCGCGATGGAAGCCAACTCCCAAGATCTACCCCAGTGGCCTCCGCAGATGCAGTCACATCCCCAAGAGTACAACGGGTTGAACTTCAATGAGCACAGCTATAGCCACCCACTCCAAGCGCACCCAGTACGATCGAGGTCGCAAGAGGCCGCTGCGGCAGTAGCATCAGAGCTCGTATACCAGGCTTCTCAGCCAGCCCAGGTAGACTTGCCCGCCATTCCCGATATCTGCATACCCGAAGGCTATGTACAAGACGACAACGCTTTCCCCGACTCTTGGCTATACCTCGATCCCCAGGAAGCAGCAGGGCAAATGGATGCACTCATGGCAGCAAACCAGACCTTTGACTACAGCGACGTGGAACGATTGGCGTCGACGTCGCTTGTGCCTCGGTTTTCTTATCATCCTGGCATGCGTTTGTTGGATTGTCCGGAGGCGCAAGACCCGAACAATTGGGGCGAGCTGGCTCGTGCGGCGCGGTGGGCGCGGTCCCATACGCATCCTTGTGGCCGTGAATTCACGGTCGGAGATATCGATGCTGTGTTAGCTTATTTTGAAGGCCCGGGGGCGCAGTTTGATCAAGCTAGAAGTTGATCTGCTTACCGGGCTTTGAAGTGTCAGTGATCTGACACTTGACACGTAGTTACCGTATCGTTAAGAATTCATGTAAAGGCAGAGAAAGTCAAGATGTAAACTCGCCTTGAGCGATACTGTTTCCCCAAGATGGAACGTCAATACACGGTTGAAATAGAATAACATCAGTTCTGTGACGTAATTTTCTTCCGCTTGGTATGATATGCAGTGATTCTGACATTATCTAGCATTGGCGCGTTTTGCGCATGAGTCTCTAGGGCTGACACGCATCTTGCGAGACGTCGGCTAGTACCCCTCCTTCCTTCTAACGTCAGCCTCAGTATAGAGCTATAAGATTAGCATGTATATTCGCCTATGAACTTACAACTGCTTTCGTAAAATACATTCACTTGTCTGTGGTCGATACTCAACCGCGAAATTGTACCTTCTCAGACTGCTTCGTCCAACCCATTCGTACCACCAATATGCGGGCTCTTCGCTACTATGGGACCGAGGACATGCGTCTGGAACACGACGTTCCAGAGCCGGTATGTGATGCCCACCAAGTGAAGATTCGACCTTCCTTTTGTGGGATCTGCGGGTCCGACCTACACTTCTACTGCATACCGGATGCTCTTCCTTTCAAAGACACGCCTCATTCAATCACCGGTGAGACATGGCCTGTAACTCTCGGGCATGAGTTTTCTGGGGACATCGTCGAGGTCGGAGCGCAGGTGCGCAAAGGTCTCAAGGTTGGAGACAGAGTGGCCGTCCAACCTACCATTTGCTGCAAGCAATGCGTTTCGTGCAAAGGCGGCTTTACCAATTGTTGCGATTCGTTTGGGTTTGTGGGAATCATGGGTTGGGGAGGTGGGTTATCGGATCGGGTGTGTGTAGATGCGCAATTCGTGTTCAAACTGCCTGAGAGGATAACGTCAGAAATCGGGGGTAAGACAGTTGGGATGCTCACTTGAGGTAGGGAAGGACACTGACAGATTGGCGTAGCTTTGGTCGAACCGCTTGCAGTTGCTTGGCATGCTGTCGAACAGTCGGCCGCCAAAGCAGGGGACAACATCTTGGTTATCGGCGCCGGCCCGATTGGTTTGGCCATTCTCCAATGCCTGAAAGCCTTGGATACTGCCCAGGTGATCGTTGCTGAAGTTGTTCAGGATCGAAAGGACTTAGCTCTACACTTTGGAGCTACGGCGGCGATCGATCCGACGGACGAAGATATGGTCTCCAGATGCAAGATGCTGTGCAATGGTCAAGGCCCTGATGTTGCTTTTGACTGCGCCGGAGTAGCTACCAGTATCAAGTCTGCGTGTCTATCAGTTCGCAGCAGGGGAACGGTGGTGAATGTTGCCCAGTGGGGTAAAGAGATTCCCTTCAACCCGGACAATCTGTTGGTTGGGGAAAAGAGGCTGATTACAGGTAAGCCATCACGCGAAACCGTTGGAATGATTCGAAGCCTTGCTGACTTATTCTGAGCGCTGAGTTACACCAGTGAGGACTTCGAGCGAGTTATTGACGCGCTGGATAAAGGAACAATCGATGCGGAGAAGATGATCACGCGTACAATCTCGATGGATAGAGTGGTGGAGGATGGTATTCTCGCACTGCTACACGAGAAGGATAAACACATCAAGATACTCGTCGATGTCAGAAAGTAGGAGTACTGCTGTTGGATAGTAGAGTTGATGGCATGGAAGCAGGAAGAGCCGACGCGTTAATGACGCGTGACAGGAAAGCGGGGACAAGTGACGAGCACGGGCCACAGCAACGCCAAGATCCCCACACTTGTCGCTTCCTCTCGACCTTCTCTACTTTCCTTTGCAAAAGCCGATTCCTACTGGGCCTATGAGGTGCCACGGCTGTAGTAATGTTCTAGCTGCTCCTTTTAGCCTTATCGTCAGCATGCTGAGATCAGATCTGCACAGCCGACTGTCCAAATACCTCCGAAATTTCCTGTGAAGCGTTGGATCGACCTACGCGACTGTCTCCAGACTCGATTTCGCACTACCTACCGGCAACAAGGCTTTGTGGCATCAGCAAGGTGTAGCGGTGAATAGCAAGACTCGTTTGTAATTATTCCTCAGGTCGTGTGATCATTACTAGGATCTAAGAGAGCTAACAGCTCAAGTAGCTATACCGATGTTTCCTCGATGTCTATGAAGAGACTCCTGATCTCCTTCGCTTGCATCTCCTGTTATGGTTTCCTGCAAATCCGATTCATCAGCGCGATGCTGCAGCCCCATCGGTTTGAGCCACAAGTGACTTGTGTCATCGTCGAGCCGCTCGAACCCGTCGTCGCTGACAGCTTTCGGCCCACTGGACTTGGATTCAGCATTCGAAGACTTCTTTTTCCCCGAAGCGTGAGGTGTTGTTGCGGAGCGACCAAGAAGTGGATGCATCAGAGGCACGCATGCGAGGACTACGGCGAGGCATGGCTCCAGGCCACTGAAGATATTGGCTTTGGGGATCGTATAGGTGATATCGGTAAAGTCCATGCTGGATAGGACGGAGATGCGAAAGGCGCTGACGATACAGGTACTGCTCCGGTTAGATCAGAGCTGACGACAGAGTCTCATTTTGACTCACAAAGTACCCAGGCCGAAAACGGCGACGAGAGTCACTCTTTTGTACGTCGCCATTTGCAGTTGATACAACGGACGCATGGGCAGAAGAAGCACCATGACGTCGGTGACCAAGTTGATGACTCCGGTAATCGTGAATGAGGTGACTTGATCGCCACAGCTTCCTCCAGGAATCGATTTATCCCAATTGTAGGCGAAAGGCCGGCATATCAGACAGCCAGCGAGGATGGTTGCGATTGTCCAAGCAACGATGATGGACATGGTCACGTAGGAGCTCCAGACCACCCATCGGATCGGAAAGATCAAGATATAGAGAGACAGAATCGAAATCTTGGTACAACTAAGACTCAGAACCCACAGAAACTGCAGGGGTATGATGAGCTGCGATAGCTTGGTGATAGGATCGAGGCCGTACGCTACTACGATGTTCTGGACGTGATCGTAGCCAATGCCGGCATGAAAGACTCCAGTAATGCTGACGGATTGCAGGCCGATAGCGAAAATCTGCAAAGTGTTAGTAGTGTTGGCGATATCCGGAGCTGAACTTCTTACACAGGCGGCAATGATGAAGTAGTCGGCAATTGTCCATCTTTTGTGAGCAATCGCGTGAGCGATCAGTCGTAGGGTGACGGCCAGTGCAGCAAGAATTGAGAAGCTGAATGCGACACCCAGTACTGCTCTCTGGTCATGAGTTCGAATAGGAAATGTGGTGGTCATGTTGTCGTGCAGATCCCGATGCAATACTCTGGTGTGCGACTCACGCGCCGACGTCTGTATCGTCGCAGGCTCGGAGGTGTATAAACAAGCTGGTCCACTGCGGGAAGATCGATCTTGGGGAGGAGCTGGGCATATGAGCTGCCGACCTCCCCGTGCGAAGCCTCGCATTTCTGTTTGCGCACCCCATGTCTTTTCCCGCGCTGATCGATATACCCCTTGGCTTAGGATTCCAACAAGAAATCCTTCGCAGGCCTGAAGAGCCGTTCCTCACCCGACGTGCCGGCTCAGGCGTTCACCCCGACTAGGCCCACGGCACTAAAACCGTGACAGCGGCCCCATCCGGCTAGGCTTTGGGGCATATTCTGTGCGGTGTCGCATTCTCGTTACTGATAGGACGCGTGACCTGCCTTTCCTCTTGTACAAGACCTGCGCATGCGGGTTCTCCCATCCGAGCCTACCCACTACGCTTCAGGCCCTGGAGAGGGCGGGCTACCGTGTAAAAACCGGATAAAGCGTGTGCCGCGACGCGAAGGGTCTCGCCATGCATACCCGAGCAGATCTATATCAGAGCCTCTCAGCCCACGCGCGCACGCAGCGCTTGGTTGATGTGTAATGCGATGCTGTCCGGGGATCGTTTCGGGTCTTCCGATTTTGATCACGTCAGTGATGGCGGCAGCTGTGATGGGAGTCTAGTCGCAAGAAGAAGAGCCCATCACGCGCAATACGAGGGCATGGCGCCGAGACACTGCCGTCCAGATCCGAACAAGCTGTTATCACGATTTCGGGGCTTCATACGCGAAAGGTGGCCGTTGTTGCCAAGTGCCGGCTGGGCTAACTCGTTTTGGACATGGCTCCAGGAACAATCCACTTGAGTAATGCCGTGCATGCACGTATCCGCCATTCTGGACACCTACAAGTGGTTGTGTCGCCCACAGCTTTCGTGGGTTGCTCCTCCAGCCATGTCCAGCCTTGTCGTGACCGTCCTTCTGGCCGTGAGTGCCCTGACCGCACTTTACCTTTACAGCAACAAGAGCAAAGATGCATCCGAGAAGCCCCTCCTCAAGCTGCCGCTCATTGGTGATCTCCACAGTTCGCCAATCGAGAAACCACTGGTAAACTGGAGCGCCTGGTCGAAACAACACGGCCCGATTACGGTCCCCAAGCTGTTTGGAATTGTGCCCATTGTCGTGCTCAACTCGTACGAGGCCGTCACTGAACTCTTCAGTCGTCGTAGCCAATGGTACAGCAACCGACCGGCCTCAGTGAGCATGGAAATGATCACTGGGGCTGGGCCAGGTCGTTCCCGATTTACGCTGATGCACGACTATGACGATCACCTTAAATTACACCATCGCATTCTTTCACCAAGTCTTGGTGCGCCGGCGGCAAGCAAGTATCAGCCGCTCATGGAACTCGAAGCTAAGCAATTGCTCTTCGATCTCATCGCTGCCTTGGAGAAGTCCAAAGATGGTTCCACAATCACCACGAAGACGATATATCCTCTGCTCGAGCGGACCCAGTCCAGTGTCATCCTTGCCCTCCATTACGGTCTCCGCATACCCAAGTTCGAAGAGCCAATCCTGCATGAGGTCATTGCAATTCAAGCGAAGGTCACACATCTGGCCGCGAATCCGCAGCTCCCGGATCTTATGCCAGTCCTTCGACACTTGCCTACTCTCATCTCCCCGTGGCAGCAGTATGCTGACAAGCTTTACGCGGCCCAGGTTAAGCTCTACATGCGCCTCTTTCGCCATGGCAGAGATGCGCCAGGCTGGAACGCCACAAAGCAAGCAATCGCATCCGCACCGAAATATGCTCCCACCGACTCGCCAGTATCCGATCTTGACCTTGCCTTCACACTCGCGACATCTATTCAGGGTGGTATGGAAACGTCCCCTCGTCAGATTCTCTGGCTCTTCGTCGCAGCAATGCACAATCCTGAGATCATGACCCGTGCGCATGAAGTACTAGACAAAGTCGTTGGCAGAGAGCGTCTTCCTACATTCTCGGACCGGCACGACCTCGCCTACGTTGACGCTATAGCACATGAATTGTTCAGATGGCGACCCATATCTCCTGGTTCGATTCCGCGCCGTGCTGATCGCGCGGATGAATTCGCTGGCGTGAAAATCGCTAAGGGTGTGACCATCATGGCGAACGCGTGGGCCATCGGCCGCGACGAGGCAGTCTTCGATCCTTCGCTTGGTGATGCGCAGGATTTTGTTCCTGAGCGCTGGCTGCGTGATGGGAAGGTCCGCGGTGATCTGCCACTCCCTGTGTTTGGCCAAGGTCGAAGGATATGTCAAGGAAAGCGTGTCGCTACTGACGGAACATTCATGAATATCGCAAATCTGCTATGGGCGTTTGATGTGGAAGCCATACAGGGAGAAGAGGTGGATCCATGGCAAATGATAGTCGTTGGCTTCATGACTGAGCCAAGGCCATTTAGGTTCCGCCTGAAGCCTCGAGGACCATGGGTATTGGATGCGGTGAGGAGGGAGTGGGAAAGTACCGAGAAAAGCCTAGAAGGAGTGATGGGCACCGCGAACGACGTCGAGAATTAGCATCCATGCCTAATTTGGTCTGCCTCCTTCGTACTTGATCACTATACCGGAGTCGAACGTCGTCCCATCAGAGCAGTCCGGGCTTACAGGGCCGAACACGATGCCTGCAGCGACCCAGCTTCCCCGATAGACTCGCCGTTGAATGCCGGCGAATTAGCGTATCTGCTGGTCCGATAGTTCTTAGACCCTGGATCATGTATAGGCGTTCGCCTTAGATAGCTCAGTATATGGAGAGGTTACATCGACTGAAACCACACTTCCCCTTTATCCTGAGACCCCGCGGCTCCGTAGTCTCGTTATTGGATGCAAGGTATTGCGAAGATTTTCTTCGATATCTGCGCGCCGCTGACCGGTGCCATCCCATGATCGTCTTTGGCCAGAGAGGTCTCGACTGCTGAGTCGTGGTTACGGCCCGATCCCGTTCCTCGCCAATCATGACCTTGCGGTGAGACAAGGGAAGGAGAATCAGCCTAGCCATGTCATGCGTGTGGGTGCGCGAGCAAAACTTGCGTGCGGGACACCTTGGCGAATTGAGTGAGGCCTGAAGATATCGGGTTGCAGCAAATGGAGCCCTCGGGTTTGATGGGCATTGTAGTGTGCGTTGTGGCAATGCAAACGCACATTACTCATGTGCATGCTGTAACCTACCTCATAGCAGCGCCATTTAGTAGTCTGGCATACAATGCTGGCTTCGCAAAGATGTTGCCGATGACCACATTGCGCTGTTGCGATATCCACTGTGTATTGAAACGTTATCATATTGGTTCGGGAAAAGACCCACGGAGAGAAACCGAGCCGTTCCGTAACGGGAGACCTAGGTAATGGCGTAACGACCTGGAGCGTCGTAGCTGGCTTGCGAAGCACCTAGCAGCAGTAGCAAAACTTAAAGTAATAGGCTTTCCATTATACACGGCTGTCGGAGGCGGTGAATCTGCAGTAATGGATAGTAGCCCTGGGGGTATCCAATCCGCGACAGCCCTGAACGGCTTGTGTACGCCTTGCCTCTCAGCACTCGATGCAACGCGGGTGTTCTGGATCCAATGCAGGTTGCACTCGTGTGTTGACCTTGCATGCAAACTCCGTTGTCGGTCTCTTGAAGCTGTGGAAGGAACTTCACTGTAAGAAGCGGCTGCGCTGCGCTGGGCCACAGGAAATTGATCGATGACGACAGAGTCACGTGATGTATCCTAGCGTGTTCTGCACCTGCCTAGGTACTGTCGCTGCAACATCGACTGTTCAAGTCCGCTCATTGACCCCTCCTGCATTCATCCTCGCACCATATTGTCCGCCTGTTCTGTTGTACACGCCAATGATCTAATCTCGCCTCTCACAATCTGGAAGCCTCGATCGTTATGTTGAGCTTCCGCGTATGCGTCGCTGGGCGTGCAGATCCCGACGCGTCGCAAAGTTTCGTCAAGCGCATTGATGGCGTATCGTTCAGATTCCCGGAACAGCCAGCCGTCCACAAGTGTAGCGAACGTAGCTCATTTGCAACTCCCTGGCTTTCGAAATTAATAGTCATTCTCTATCAGACTGCAACTGTCTATGGTATCGCATATGCCTCTCCGTCGGCGTCCTAGTTGTCGTACACTTTTCCCACGTAGATGGCACAAACAGGAACATTGTGCGATCTCGGTTTCAATAAATTTCCATGCTTTTGGAGGACCCCTTACTCCTCGGACGCCACCCGGTGGCGTTTGTCCTCTTGCTCGTCGATCTACCCTGATTTATCGATGTCAGTGTATTCGCAAGCAGAACTGTCTCGAAGACGTACCTTAGATAGTACTGTCCTCCCTTGAAGTGCGCCTGCGCGTGCCCGGCTCAGATGAAAAGGTTGTCCCCAGCCGTTAATATTACCCGGGTCTTCTCCGGTATCGCAATAGTTTCCTCGTCCTCCTTTATTCGCTGCCCACCGGGGCCATTCATTACGGACAGACACTGCTGGATGTGCAGCTCATCCCGAAACACCATCTCTCCTACTGCATCCCAATCCATATCCTGAGGAGACCCGACAAGTACAACTGGCGCATCAGGATCCGCTTTTGCTCTGCTTGATGTGACAGCACCCAGTCGGTCTCCGGCCCCAGTCTTGACGCGTATTACATAGCGCAACCTGTAAGACTGCGGGGGATGCATCTCGAAGACCTCCTTGATCAAAGGCAGATGGGTTTCCTCCATGTAAGACTGGAAATGCTCCGGGGTGACTTCTGGGCGACGGGAATAGAAACAAAGAACTGATACCGTCATGGTGTCGGTTCGTAGTGTCGGCAGCAAATCTCTGCTTTTCGATTCGACAGTTATAACAGAAAGAGGTTAAGGTGCGTGTGGTAATAGAATGCTGTGGACAATAGAAAAGCTGAAGTTTATGGCAGAGAAGAAGCGGCTTGGGGCTTGTCCGAGTCAACAAATCACACACGGCTTCTCAGGAGCTAGATG